CTTTTTTAAACCTAAAATTAGGCGAAAATTATTTGATAATGCTGAGATGTGCGAATTAAATAGCAATGACGATTAGCTGATTAACTCAGAGGCTTCATAACCTTAGTTGAGATATTTCGTGCGTAACGCGGAAACTGTTGCGGCAACGTATTCAGACTATGTTTAGCGCAGACTTCGATGCGAGGTTGAGTGAGGTGCTGAGCATAACGGCAGAAGAGGTGCGTCTAGTTGAAAACAAAACTGCATCATCCATCTGAAGTAATTCAAACACACAGAGCAGCTGATTTAGCAGGACAACAATCACAAGTTTGAGATTGGATTTAGCAGGGTTCCATACAGATTCTGTTTATATGTGGTTAGTGTCGGTCCGGGTTCGATCCCAGGTATGGTCAAGTGGGATTTGTGGTGGACAAAGTGGCGCTGGGGCGGGTTTTCTCCGAGTACTTCGGTTTCCCCTCCCAATCTTCATTCTACCAAATTCTCCATCATCATAATCACCCTGGGCAGGTACAACAGGCCAATCAGTGGCCGCCATGCCGACTGGATCCAGTTGGACTCCACCCCCCACTAAACGAAATAAAAAAAATTATATGGTTAGTGTGGCAACACTGTCTGTAGCTCAGAATATGCAGCGTCGAATGGCGGGATATTTAGTTGATAAAGAACGGGAACATAAGCGGAAGAAAACGGTCATACAATAATTCGAAGTATATCCTGGCAGTACCTGATCCCAGCGGCCGTACGGTCTAAGGCATGAACTGTCTTCGCCCACTCGAACACTGGAATCTTGGGTTCGAATCCCAATCAAGGCATGGAGTCTCTGTGCGTTTATCTCTTTATGTTGTTCAGTGTGTTGGCAGCGGCCTTGCGACGGGCTGATCCCCCGTCCTTTGAGTCCTACCAAATATGTATAGGATTAAGAAACTGAAAAAGCGGCCATAGATAGATATCCTGGATGTGGTCTAGAAGAACTGGGTAAAATCACGAACAACTCAGGATAACCCATCTCTGGTCAGGGCTTAGAATAAGAAGCCGGGAAGCTACCCATACGGTCGGGTCAGGTGTCGGTAATGAGTTCTGTTATAGTTATACAGAATGAACTGCAGCTAAATTCGGCACTGAACTATAATTCGGGGATATAAAGTTAAAATTGTTACTGTGCTTAATTAATTACGAACTATGTAACGAAGACATATCTAAGAGTGTAGGTACAACTCCACCATTGTCGACCTCGGCACTAGACGGAAGGTGAGTGGTTAGCTTAACGTCAGCACAGCTGTATTCCTTGGGAAAGCACCCCAGGTACCCATCAGACAGGAGGCTGTGTCGGCCCTTGACGCTGTGGAGAAGAGAAAAATCGCGCCATGAAGGGAATCGAACCCGAGCCGTCGAGCCGGTAGAACGTCACTGTACCGACTGAGCTATCCCGATTCAAATCCGGGGGATGTATAAAATATATTATTAAATGTTACTGCCCGTTCAACTGGAATACAAATACATTTAAATAAATGGAGTTCACACCGATATTATACTGAGTATATATATAGTGAAATGAGGAGAAAATCGAATCAGTTATTCGAGCGAACAAAATCAAACATCGATAATATAAAACTTAGTAAATATATCATCTGTTTCCATTCCATATATCCGAACCTCCCCTGAAATTATCATAATTACAGTCTGAACAGAAATGTTAGCTCTGCAAACCTCTGACAACCGATGTTGGCTATTGCCATTGTTATGAGACGCCCTAAAAGTAACAACCGTGTGTTTGTAGCTTTGTATTTCACAAAAGGATTTAAATTACAGCCATTTTTAGTTGCTTTTTATGAAATTAGAGTTCGGGAGGTATGTGATACAGTAAGTTCTCTCTATAGATATGAACAGCCAGTTAATATATACCGGTGGTGAGGGGGGGGAGGCTCATAGCTCATGATACGCAGGACGACATATCTATAATTAGATAGCAATAGTAAGGGAGTTCCCTGATACGCGATGGCTCATGCAGTCACCAGGCGCTAGACAATCAATAATAGACTAACCACAACGCTCGTGAAATACACCAATAACGGAACGCCTCTTCCGACTGCATGAATACCAAATAAATAACAGAGATGATTTATAATTGTAGCTGTATTTTAAAGCTACTACTGACAATGTTACGATTAATATTTTTATGTTATATGTATATATGCAGGGTACGCGGTAGCGTAGTTGGTTGAGGCACTATGCTACAAGCCGGAAAGTCGCGGGTTCAAGTCCCGATGAGGGAGGAACCAAGACTGAGGGTGTTTGAGAACAGGGTGTTGAGAATATTTGGACCGAACAGAGATGAACTGACAGCAGGTTGGAGAAAACTGCATAATGACGAGTTCATAACTTGTACTCTTCCCCAGGTATCACTAGAATGATCAAGTCAATTTAAAAAATTCCAGTGATCTCATCGGGATTCGATCCCGCGACTTTCCGGCTTGTAGCACAGTGCCTCAACCAACTACGCTACCTTGTGCCCACTCTCAGTATGAAAGCCGGTAAATATTTAGCACACTTTTCTTAGCACCGCACATTTTCCTGAAAATACGACGTATTTCTTACAATTCATACAGGAAGGGTAGTGATTCATGTGATGTGAAGCTTTATAGTCTAAGTTTACTTAAGTTTGGGATAATACACATTCTCCATTGTGACTTTCCTTCCAGAGTGACAAACAAAGGAAAATTTCAGGTCATCATCAGTTTATAATGTAGTAGAGTTGAAAAGGGCATTTATCCAAATGATTAAATAAATGAAACACGGGAGCAATGCTGATCCAATTAGCAGACAATATAACCGACGTCTGCCTGTGTTCAGCAAGAAACAAAGCCTGCAGTGTTCTGTGTACCTTTTTATGTCACTATGCTCATAACGACTGGAGAGAAAAAACCTCAGTACAAACAAATAACAAGCATGAGTGGGTCATCAATACAGTAATTGGCACTTAAAATAAAATTGCAAAGAGCGGCCTGGCTTTAATTATAGAATACGTGCAGGTAGTAAAAATAATAAGCTTTGGTATTATCTGATATTATAAAATAACTGGATCAAAGAGAAGTATAGAATTATCGAATTAAAACTATATGAGATTGTACTGTTCACTTTCATCCGGTTTTTCTTCGACGGCGAAGCACGGAACACATTTTAGGAAATAAATACGTAAGAACTAAAATGTTTTTGACATTTGCTTTCTGCACGAGATTCTGGTTATCCTCCTTTGAAAATGCTGATTAAAAGAAAGAGCAAGAAGCGATAGAATTGAAAGTGTCATGAAGTAAAAAAGGTAAAGATTTCCCTGTGCTTAACCAATTAACCACTACGCCATGAAGGCATGTGGGGGTGTGGAAGTACATATCCACATTTTCTTGACCTCTTGAGTGGTCAGCTTCACGCCCCGCCCGCTTCACTCCTAGGGAAAGAGCCCCCAGTACCCATTGTATAGGAGGTTGGGTGGAACTTAGAGCCGGTCTGCAACACGTGGAGAAGAGAAAATTCTTGACCCCGCCATGATTCGAACTCCAGCCTGTAGGCCGGAAGGCCTTCGACCGTATTTGTCTATCGTGTCACCCATGAAAACTACAGTAAAACTTGGTTATAGCAACATCGGTTTCTGCGACACCTTGTCTATTGCGTCAAATATTCAGTGGTACGAACTAATTCCTCATAAAGCAACTGTTTTTATACCTTGCTTAGTACGACATGCACAAATGCATCAACCTCGTATGTAACGTCATTTTCATTCCTGAATTTCTCTGATATGGACATTGAACGTAATTTAGAAAGTGTGTATTGGGCAAGTAACAGGAAACAGATGAAGATAACTGATTACTGTACTCGTATCTAGGTACAGTAAGGCACAACAATTGATGTAATCTACTGTAATTTGGTGAGTAGGCCTACCTTTAATATACAGTATTAGTGCGGTGTGTATTGTCAGTGAAAAGCGCTGTAATATGTCTTTGATATTACACATTTGGGCAATTCCACGTTAATGTTACGTTAGTCTGTACTTAACTACGTATTTCACTAAAAAATGCAACATTTTAACTCGGTTTTTGGTAGATTTTTACGTGACTAACATAAGGCTACTGTGGAAGTGCCCATTTCGGTTACAACGACATTCGTTTATAACGACATTATTTTTAGGTCCCTTTGATGACGTTATAACCAAGTTCTACTGTATTAATATATTAGTCCACAAATAAATCCTCCGTTCCTTTCTGTACCCACGAACAGAACTAACATTCGTGTTACTTTCCTACGGGGGTCAAAGGGGTAGTATGTGGCCCCAATGGTGCATATCTTATTGGTGTATGTGTGTTATCAAATCTACCAAGTCCGATAAGTGAATGTCCAAGTCGTGAGCCCTGGGAAACTTCTTTTACGGGTAAGTCATGCAAGGGCGAAAGGGACTTGCTGACGATTCCAAATTGGGGCCAACAAGCTCCTGGAAACAACATTGACAGAAAACACTGGAACGCCAGGATTGCGGGGGGGGGGGCTCCCAACTCAATCATGAGGCAAAAATGTCACGAAAACACAGGAAGCAACAGCAGGTAGGTCTATCTGACAACGAGATGGCAAAATTCTATATGAAATGAAAAGAGTGACTGAAGCCTCTGAAGAAGGGCAGGATGATGATGTCACTTTCTTACCGCGTGAATACCTGCACGGTTACCGGGGATTTTTGTTTCATTGTCGGAAATTGCATCTAGAAAGGGCATGACGGTTAACAGAAGAGAGAACTCCAGGACTTGTTACTCGTTGACATGCAAGTAGACGATTTTCATGAATGAACGTTGCTTCTATTTAAACTCCTATTATAGAACAATCGTTTTTATGCAAATAAAAGTGCTTACTCAAATTCTGAATCTGATTCAAGGAAGTTATTATCACGCCAGACGTTCACCTCAGAATATACGAGTATTAGCAAGGGGAATGTATAAGCAAAATGGCTGACAACTTACAGATGGAGTTCCGGGGCACGCGGCCGTCACACACGGAACCAATACACGGTGGACGGACGTGACGTGTGGAGAAACAAAACAACAGCGACCTGCAACAAGAAACAGCCTCATCAGACAATTGTACCGCAACTAGATAGAGCCCCTAATAACACAGAAACAATTTGTGGACCTAGCATGCACTTCAAAGCAATTCTTTCTCCTCTATGTAAATCCAGATTCAATTGGGCCGATCATAGTGGCCGCGACGTCTAAGGCGTAAAATATCTTCGCCCGCTCAAACGCTGCGATCGTGAGTTCGAATCCCTTTCAAGGCATGGATGTCTGTGTTTATTCTGTTTTTGTGTTGTCCTGTGTATGTGCAGGTCTTGCGACAGGCTGATTCCCCTTCCGGTGAGTCCTACCGACTGTGTATAAGATTAAAAGATCTGAGTTAAACCCCGTTTAACGGCTGCCCTGTTCTCCAGAAACAGCAACAACGCGAAAGTTCAATTAGTGCTCGTCAGCAAATGTAGAAAACCCTGTTGGATTTCAGGTTAGCAAGGCGGTGACTATGAAGAGTGCTATTTTCTGGCGTGTATGTCGTATAGTCTGGTAGAATTTTACTGATGTTTCGAAGGAACATACTGCCTCCATTTTCAGAGTCGAAGAGTAAGCTCAGCAAGCAACCAGCAGACAGCCGAATGGAAGCAGTTCGTTCTTTCGAAACGTCGGTAAACGTCTAGTAGATTACATAGCATTACGTCCCAGAAGACACTACATGTCATATGCAAATATGTCAATCATAACATATATGTAAGTGCATACAAACCGGTTAATAAATTTACAAATACATGTGAATGTAGGAACGTATGGCATGACAAATGATATTTAAAAAGTGTGGAAATATAGGAATCTGAAGTCTAAAAATGTGTGGAATTTCCTATAGTTTTCCATGGAAATAAGAATTTTAACAAGTGTTAAAAGGACGACTCAGAATAAATAATATGTAAACATATTTTTTTCTTTGTAACGAGTTCTTCACCGTTGTAATCCAAAGCGTTGCTCATTATTACAGTACAGGCAATTAAAATTTCACGCCAGGTAATGTCTACCCCATTAACTCCCACAGGATAGGCTTCCAATTAATTAGCTATAATATGGTACATATTTCTCTACAATAAATTCACTATATAATTAAATTAATGTTTTACCAAATTGTTTGCATGTTTTAGTTTAAAGTCAATTCATTGTCTTTATGCACATCCCTCTGGTATATGCAGCCAGTTCTTTACAAGGCTTCAAAACACGACTCGTTGAACTGCATATATGAATTTTATATACGCTGTTTGGAACGTATGATATTATGTAAGACTTTTTTTATGAAAAACTTTCAATCTCTTATTATTTACATTTATGGAAAATAACGTTGAGCTAGTTTTGTTGTGCGAGTATTACTAAGAAGTTAGGTCCAGAAAAGGGCTGTAGAGGGGCACGCGGTAGCGTACTTGGTTGAGGCACTATGCTACAAGCCGGAAGGTCGCGGGTTCGAGTCTCGATTAGGTGGATTTTTTCAATTTACCTAATCCTTCCAGCCGCACTATGGCCCTGGTGTCGACTCAGCCTCTAACAGAAATGAGTACCAGGAATTTTTATGGCGGGTGAAGGGCGGCCGGGGCGTAAGGCTGACAACTTTATCGTCATCTATGAGCGGACTATCTAGAAGATCTGGGAGCCTCGACCTCTCACACCCCTACGGGCCTTCAAGACCTGTTAAAGGGATAACTTTAAGGGGCTGTAGAACCATAGATGGATTACTAAGAATTTGTGTTGTAATTGGCTTAGGGTAATAACAAGGAACCGGGATAGCGCAGTCGGTATAGCGACTGGCTACGGGCTGAACGACTGAGGGGTCGGAGTTCGAGTCCGGATAGGGTCAAGAATTTTCTCTTCTCCAAATAGTTGAGACCGGTTCTGGGGTCCACCCAGCCTCCTATCCAATGGGTACCGTGGGCGTTTTCCCAGGGGGTAATTCGGCCGGCGCGTGAAACTGACCATTCACCTCCAGTTAGTGCCGAGTTCCAGAAAATGTGGATCTATACATCCACTCCCATACGCCTTCATGGTGTAATGCTTAATTAGTTAAGCACAGGGACAACTTTACATTATATATATAGATATGTGTGTGTGTGTAAACCTATATATAGAAAAACTGAATATGTATTTTAAAAACAAGAATGAACAGATGCAGAGAAAAGACGGGATCCCAGAACCAGCTGAATACTGAGCCCGTCAGTTCAAACGTTTGGAACGAAGTGGGACCAGCCTTCAGCTCACTCTGTCGTGGAAGGACAGAGACACGGCTCAGAATGCAACGTAAGTCTCACTTCAAGTCTGTAACGTTTGTAAGAAATATTTTTTGATGCGATGAAAACTAAACGATACTTCACACAATAAAGACACATATCTACAGAGTACAATATTTGTGGCGCTGGCTTTGCCAACGAAATTCAGCATTTAAACTGTTGAATATCTTTCAAAGGGAACAAGTCTGTTCTGCAACAGATACCAGCTGTGGATATATCAGTCATCTACACACATCTCAGGGCACAGTACAGATGGATCTAGCAGCAACGCTCTGTTCTACATGTGTCCGGTTCCAGTTATGGTGGAGGCACTGGATGTACTGACTCAGATGTTCCGCGAATTTTCTCAGGCCCTTCAGGCAAATGACGGGAAAGTGACTTGATTAGGCAATGACCGCTTCCTTTCAAATGCTTTCCAGTTCGTCGATAGGGAGCATACTGACGGTATCGTAGAACATCCCTTGCAAAGTGTTTCAAGTAGAAATGTTCAATATCTGGATCCCCTCCCTAGACCTTAGTGCACACCTACATCATGTGATACTTCGTACTCGAGTTCCTGTAAGGTAAAGCAATACGCCATGAAGGCTATGGGGGAGTGGGTGTAAAGATCCAGACTTTCTTGACCTCGACACTAGTTGGAGGTGAGTGGTCAGTTTCATGCACCTGCCGCTTTACCCCCGGGGAAAGAGCACCCGGTACCCATTGGATAGGAGGTTGGGTGGACCCCAGAGCAGATTTGAAGAAGAGAAAACTCTTGATCCTACCGGGACTCGAACTCCAACCCCTCCGTCGTGCAACCCGTAGCCAGTCGCTATACCAACTACGCTATCCCGGCTCCCATATTTAACAATATTCTATAATTGTTATTATGATTAAAATTAATTTCAGTTAGCTTTTTGTTCAAACGCTTATTAAACTGCCTAAATTACAGTTATTAAGTAAGCACGAGCGAAAGAATTATACTTCAGATAATAATAAGTTCTGGGAAGAACTAATCGCCTACTTTCCTTTGATATAACAGGGAACGCATTGAAAACGAAGCCTCCAAAATTTCTTTGTTGCTGTGGGGAAGGTATACGTGTATACCGAGACGTTGAGATGGGCTCAGGTGCCATGATATACATACCAATTTTCATAAAGATTTGTTTATGCATTCAAAATTTGATACATGGAATACGCCACACACACACACACACGCACGCACGCGCGCACACACACACACACACACACACACACACAGAAAACACAGGCAGCAAGGTGATCTCATAAGCCTAATTTCATTGGAGTCCCCCCAGCCATAATGCAGCAAGAAGATATATATTATATATGGGATAAACCTATATATATATATATATACACTGATCCAGAGGACAATTAATATTTCAATAATAACTGTAAAGTACAAATTATAAAATATGAATAAGGTAAACAGTCTGGGTTACATATATGTCAACGTCCCTACAGACAACATTAACAACTGAAACTCATAACAGTAACAATAATAATAATAATAATAATAATAATAATAATAATAAACGATTTTATAATGGCAATGAAGCAGTTCATTTTCAGAAATTGAATTACACTTGTCATTTTAAAGCAATCACAGCTTTCATGCACTCTGTTGTGCTATTCAAATGAATTTGGACTTCAGCGGTTGCAGGTGTAACACGGTATCGCAATCAGCCGCTCAGTCATACAGTTCCATATATCCAGAGTGAGGTGATGCCACTACAATGTCCAATCAAACATCATCTCGTATTCCCCGTAATGACCTCCATTCATAACGACGCCTGTCAATTATTAAGAGATCATTTCATAATTCCGAACAGAATATCAATTCAGAAAATCCCATAAATTGACATCTGACTAAGAACCTCCATTAGATTGTGACATTTTCCAACGATACTGGAAGATGACATACATGGCTGCGTAAATTACACTGATTTAATCCATGTATCATGGCCAGAACTTGTCGCGCTGTCAGAGAATTTCATAGTCTGTGTGTATACACATCCTGTCTGTACAGGATACATGTGTTGTACGAGAATTAACTCAGTTGTTACATCGAAATAGGTGAGCAAATATTCTTCGCGTACTGACAAGTAAAGATGACTGCCTCTATGATCCGGAAACTACTAAATCGTACAGAAGGGGGGTGCAATGAATGACAGAAACTGCAGAATACAGAGAGGGGATTCCAATTAAGTTATGAAATGTAGCATGTAACATGCTGTGTGGGGCTGGCATCCGGTATAATTCTCAGATATTTCATTCTAGCCTATATACTTTGCATAAAAACTCCGTGACTTTTAGTGCGCAAGCGAATTATACCGACCCAGCGACCGCCGCTTATCGGAGAAGTTAGTGCCAACTTTTGCGGATAGAGAGTGTCGCGTGGTCAGCGCAATTGATTTTCCACGGCCGTTAATTTCGGTTTTATAGAGCGGAGTCGCTACATTTCCATTCAAGTATATCCTCAATTATCCTCATGAGGCTGAGTGGATCCCGTTTCAGACCCAATACTTCTCAGAAAATCTGGTAGCACCGGGAATTGTACCCGGGACCTCTGGATGTGTACTCAGGAATTCTGAACACTAGCCCACAGAGGATGCCACATTCTTTGCATAAGTGGTATAAAATGGGCAAACATTATCGAGGTCGTATTTAGGTCAGCGTGTTTCACCTCCCAAATCTCGTAAAGAATTTCGATTAAATTTAATGTAAGTGGTCTAGTCTGAGAGATT